TCAGGCCCAAATAGGTTGTTTCATCAAGTGTGTAAGGCACGGGGAATCAAAAGGCAAGTCTTATAACATTAAGACACAACCACAATTCCACCATGTACTGGAAGAGAGCAGGTGTCTTTTTGTGTCCTTTGTAGCATAAGTCAAATATTTCCTCACTAAACTGTAACTGAATTCTGGCCTAATCTCAGTTTATTTTTGCTAGCTTCTGCCACTCTGCCTTCTGAGATATTGTAATTATTACATCCACATTGCACTAAGTTTGCAGTTAAAATCTCTTCACCCTGGTTCTGTTTGTACAGACAACATGCTTCCTTCCTTTAATGGGACAAACTCCTAGTCGCTTTGAAACTGAGCAAAATGAATATTTGTAACCACATGGGAATGCAATGTTCTCCTCCACTTTGTCTTACTCCATTATAAAGGTCAATACTGCCCAACCCATCCACTGTGACTGATACTGTAATCAAGCAACAGGACTAAAAACGGATGACCAAAAAACTATTGTACTACAGTCATTTAAGCCTTTTTTGTTTTGAAAACTAACTCAGTGACAATGACCACTTCCTGTCCTAATGGAATTGCAAGTCTCATAAATGAGAAATGTTACACTTGATTAAAATAGTGCACCAAATCTATTCTAGAGTCAAACTTAGATTTCAGCAATTCAAAATCATTGTCCAAGTGTTGACATCAAATTAAACTCTGGCAGATTTACTTCTTAGGCCTTGTCTACACTAAGAGCACTGTAGTAGTGTAGGAATACCACTATGACTATATTATTCCAGGAAATTGCTTTTAGAGTGGATGCAGCTATATCAACAAAGCTGTACTTTTTTATTGATACAGTAAAACCATCCTCCACACACACATGAGCAAAAGAAGCTGTACTGGGGGGAAAAGCCCAGTTTTGCCTGTTTAACTGCATATACACTAGGGGCTTCTGGTGGCACAGCTATGTTGGTCAGAGATCACACTTCTTCATACTCCTGACCAACAGTGCTATGCCAGCATACGTCCGTAGTGTAGACTTGACCTTACTCTGGCAATGCCCATGAATTTAAACCCTAGTTTACACTTAAGTTTTGCCAGCATAGGTTTTGCATAGGTATGTTGGTTGGTTAGGGGTGTGATTTCCCCTCCCCACTCCTAACCAACATAACTATGCTGGCAAAAGATCTGGCGTAGATGCAGTTCCACTGGCAAAAATATCCTTTTACTGGTATAGCTTATTTACTGGTATTTTTTTGCTTATATAAGCTGTGTTTCCACTAGCTACACCAGCAAACCTTTTCTAGCGTCGGCAAAACTTCAGTTACTGAGGTAACAAGTTAAATCCAAAACTTAATAGTCAGATAGGTCACAGAAATGCAGTAATGGAGCAGAGTCAATCTGCTTCCTCTGAAATCAAAGCGTGAAAAAAAATCCCAGAGCAATAAAATCGAGACTAAAGAGACTAATGGGCTTGTTTTCCTGCCTATATAGCCACTTAGGGCTTACTTTGAGAATTCAGGCCTCCTGCGTCCATCCCAATAAGGTCTATGGCCCAAAATATAGAAGGGTTTGATGACTCTTGAAAGCTGTCTCTGCCATTTAAGAAGAAAACTTGTCCACATTATACCCCTTCCTAGCCACTCTCAAAGGGGATAAAATTATGTTTCTGACTACAGAAATTCAAAGGCCACTCCAAAAATGAATATACTCAAACTCCAACTCTGATGTACGTTAAAGTTTACCTAAAAGAGCCTTTACATTGTCAGAAACTGAACTGTTGGCAGCAACAGTTGATGACTATTAACTAGAGGGTCATACACTTCATTGTTTTATAGGCAGAGTTCATTACACACGCTGTATGTGAAATGGGGATAATACTTGCTGATATTTGTGAAGTTCAGATAAAAAACTAATTACTTAATTTAATACTTAGTATTTCTGTGAAAAAAAAAGTCTCAGAAGATTACCGTACTCTGCTGGAACAACACTGACTTAAGTCATCTCACTCAGCTGTAATCTAACATAGTACCAGGAATGAACTTCCAGAACAGAAGTTGTTCAGTAGCAACTATTTATAAGTCAGTTATTTAATTAGATGCAAACGTAGTATAGCATCTGCTTATAAACTCAAGCTCCAGGACACTAATGTGTTCTAAGATATTTCAAGTTACTGAAACACTACTACACATATTCTACAATTAATAAGGAATATCTCAAAGAGGGGTAAAAATAAGCTGGCTGTCATCTTTGCTTCTCCTTGGCATGTGGGCTGGAAAGCAGTACACAAAGAAGATTCTGACAGAAATTAAGTTAATCAGCTACCCCATCTGCCCAATACAGTACTAACAAATTGACGTTCTTTTAAAAACAAGACAAAAACACTCTTGACAATCAAGAAGAGCTCCTTACATGCAACAATAGATTCTTTCTAATCTTTCCACGTAGATTGCATGCAAGGGACCTCGTCTTCCTAAAGAAAAGTAAGTCAGAATTAATTTGAGGACTAAACAAAGAGCTGCAGGGAAGGCTTTTTTATCTCTACTTTTCTTGTACAACTTCCTTCTTCCAGTACAGGACAGTCATTCTGGTTTATCCACCTAAAAACTGTATTGAAATTTCCTTAGTTTGGTGTTTACCTGAGAACACGATTTCACTGAAGTTAAAATCTATCCAAGCTTATCTGGCACCTAGAACCCTCAAATGGAAGGGGTTTGCTGTCTTCTTATATGGATGCTCCTGTGGGAGGCTCTGGGCTCATTTTGATAGAGGTCAGGCTATAAGAGGGCTAACAGGACCACATGGAAAGAAGCTCTCTTGTTAAGAAGTTGAATTACTGTATATATTTGTTCATTAGCCCATTCGTTTATAAGCCGACCCCCCAAGATGGTTAGGTAAAAATAGCAAAAATTGTATGACCCTTTCATAAGCCGATCCTATATTTTAAGGGTTGGCAAACTTTGGCTCCTGGCCCGTTAGGGTAAGCCTCTAGGTGCGCCACTTTCCGCAGCTCCCATTGGCTGGGAACGGCGAACCACGGCCACAGGGAGCTGAGGGGCTCCATGCCTGCAGATGCTCCAGGTAAACAAAACGACAATGTATTAGATATTCAATTCAATGATTCCATAGAGTTGAAAATCATCAGATTTTGGTGTAGACCCATTTATAAGCTGACCCCCGCTCTTTGATGCGTCACTTTTTTACCAAAAATATTCGGCTTATGAATGAGTATATACGGTACTTAACAGATTATAGGGAGAAGCTGCTGTTATTCACTGCTAGGGAAAAGTTAGTTTCTAGGGTTTTATCCTGGCCTATCAAAATGTCCTTATAGCATCTTTTGTGCCAGTCAGAGTATTTGTGTTTATAGCTTTAACACCTGCACTTTTCTAGGACACATAGGCCCTAATCAAAGTCAGTGGTCCATCGTGCTATACAAACAAGTGTACAAGGAGTTTAAAATCGAATGTGAAATATGACATTAAAGGTAAAGGTCAATCCATAAGAGGGAAGGTGGAGCAGAGGAAAGGGTAGATTAGTAGGGCTTTACAGTTAAAATGGCTAGCTATGTGCACAACTTGATGGTGCTGTGTGTTTTCTTTTTGCCATTGTACCATTAAAAGCAAACTGACTTTACCAAATGAAATCTGAACCTTCCCCTAACCATTCCCTTTACTAAGGAAAAACTGCCACTAAGGCATGAACTCTTAGATCAATATTAACACAGTTAAGGGCAGGCAGTTTCTTTCAAGGCTGTATCACTCCACAACCAAGCACTGGAAAGCATGAAGAGAACAATGCTGTGCTCTTACCCTGGGGATTGAGAACGACACTTCATCTCTGATGATTCCTAAAGTTATTCTTCATTTCATGTCATCCACTCATCCCTGGAGTGTATTTTGGATATACTAAATATCAGACTTTTCAGCACCCTTGTGAGTATAAGTAGGAATAAAACTTCTTACTGAGACACTGAGATAAAGAAATAGTAAGACCCTTATACTCGAAGGAAAAACAAAAACAATATTCACTATTAAGTTTGTTACACTAGATCCATCACCAGTTGATAATGTATGCTACTGTTGAAGCCTAAAGATAAAAGTTTTAAAGTAAAATTCTGTGCACTTCATAAACACTGAAAAGGAAAATATAGCAATTTTCTTCAAGCTGCTCTTTGAATTAAATAAATCTGATACCTCTTAGCTTTGTTTTTCACTATTATTCTAGTCCTGCAAACATTTAATGCTTAATATTAAATACAGAAGTAGTTCCATTGCCTACATAGCTTATGTTCTAAATTAAGCACATGGTTAAATATTTGAAGGACTTTGCTTCTTTAATATTTTCACATCTATAGAACGTATCCAAGGCTATCAAACTACTTTACAATGAACTCAGCCTAATAGCTCCCCATGAGATGGGCCTTTCACTTCTAACTTCTTACCTATTACGTATCCTAGGATCCAGGGTATAAGCTTTGCCATTGAGTACTTAGTTTGTAAGGATAAGGCCTTTTTCTGTAGTCATATTGTAAGGTCTGAGGCCTTTGTCTGAAGCCATATTGGGAGAGCAGCAGCCATGAGCCAAGAAGCAGAACATCACATCCTCACATTCCATCTAAATTACATTAAAACAATGTAATATCGGGCTGTTAAGAAGATGATCCTGCCCTAACAGTACCCACCATCACCAGATAAAGAAACAGATCTTAAGATTGTTAAAGAAAACTTTGTTTGATAGCATTTTGTCTGGCAAGAAATCACTTATCAATAGTTGTGGTTGTGAAATCCTCATTTCTTTATTTTTTTTGTCTTTATGGTCCCCACTTCTCTGTTGTTTATCTGTATGGTCTCTGTCTGGTTCTTTGATGTTTCTATCTGTTACATAATCAATTTTGCTAGGTGTAAATTAATTTAGGTGGTGGGGTATGATTGGTTAAAGAATTGTTTTACAACATGTTAGGATTGGTTAGAGATTTGTTTAGTAATATTTTAATAAAATGATTGGTTAAGGTATAGCTAAGCAGGACTGAAGTTTCACTATATAAACTGGGGTCCAAGAAGGAGATCAGCAAAAGAAAAAGAAGGAAAGACCTGGAAGAAGAACTCACCTCTAAGACACAGCCTAAGATCAGAGCTGCTAAGAATCCTCTGCACAACCATGATGTGCAGCAACCAGAAGCCAGACGAGACCAACCTTGCCTGGCCAACAGGGAAAGTCCGCCTCCATGATCAGGATTGGTGAGCATAGCATTGTATGCTTAGCATGTGTATTGTTTGGTAATTGTTAATAAATAGAGGATAAGGATATTACTGTGTAAGGCTCTTTCACTGGTAAAAAGTCCTGCAAATCCGCAGAAGCCCTAGTAACTGGGTAAGGATGGGTGCCTTTTTCCCAGAGCCCAAGGAACTTGGAAAGGGTGGGGGGTGCCTAAATTAACAGGGTTATGCCTTGAGCCCATGGAAAGGTAAAGGTGGGTGCTCTAGAGTGTGTGTAACAGAGAACTGTGTGCAGGTAACAAGTCCCCTGAAACAGGATCTCTCTGTTACCGACATTCATCCCCCATTTGTAACACAGGTATTAAAATATTTACCCATCACACAGGGAAAGTGGTTGTGAGGCTTAAATGTATCCATATTTGTAGAGTGCTTTGAGAGGTTTTCATGACAGGTATTTTTGTTACTACATTTGCTTTTAGTCTACAATATTTTAATATCAACATAAGGTTTGTAAAGTATGTATCACTGCCATAATTTGCTGCCAATACATTTTATTCTCTTGACAGTTGTTTTTATAAATCAAATCTTTTTTTAAGTTCTCCATCTTTCAGTCCCTGGCTTGTCAGAGGATGGGAATGTTTCAGAGACGACATACTCAGCCACTCAGGATATGGCTACACTAAAGCTGGAAGTGAGCCTTCCAGCCTGGACAGACAGACTTGTGATAGCAGAACTACTGCTAGCATGCTAAAAATAGCTGTGTTAACATTGCAGTCTAAGCTTGGATAGCTTGAAAGCTTGTCTGTTTTAACAACAAAAGTTGGTCCAATAAAAGATTAACTCACACACCTGGTGTGTCTAATATTTTGGGACTAACATGGCTACAACAACACTAGCAACAAAGTTATTGGGGGATTTTCCTCAAACTAGTTATTTTAAAGTTTCCCTTTCTCTTGTATTTCAGTTTCCTTGCAAATCAGATCCCAGAACCAGCTTTGTGTGACACCCTGAAAATTCCATGCTAACATGCCACATCCACTACAGAGTGAACATAGTTTTTAGGGTCAAGTGGAGGCTTTTTTTTTTAATTATTATTATTAAAGCATACTGTGCATATTTATACCTTTTTTGTGTCTTTGTTTTATGCATAGTAGGATATAAAATAAGCACATTTAACTACAAAGTTAAGAGAGCAAAAACTTAATTCCCTTGGTGCTAGTGCCTTGACATATGCCTCTGAATGTTAAAATCTGAGTACCCAAGTCAGATAAAGCAATTCAAACTCCTCACACTGGATTATGTGTAGGTGAGCTAGACAAATTCCACAGTGTAATTATGAACAACTGAAATAAAGGATACACAGGACTTGCAAAATAGGTTTGACTGAAAGACACCACACTTCTCAGATGAGCTTTGTAAAAATTAATCTTCTGTGTAACTGTGCATAAGAGAGAAGAAATGAGAGAGAACATTGACCTGCTACACCCAGGGTTGTGAGTTCAACCCTTGAGAAGGCCATTTGGGGATTTAGTTGAGGATTGGTCCTACTTTGAGCAGGGGGTTGGACTAGATGACCTCCTGAGGTCCCTTCCAACCCTGATATTCTATGATTCTATGAAATGTGCTTAAAGACAAAACAGCCATACCTTAAGTGGAAATAACAAGTAAGTTTCTCTATTACTTGGACTACGTGGCCAAGACCTAGTCCAGCATACTTCTTACAAGCAATAAGAGATTTTTTGATAAGAAAAGAAAACCTCTTTTTAGAAGAGAGATCTAACTATCCATTTTTGGAGAGCCAACACAAAAATAATAACTCTCTTCAGTTGTTTTTTATTTTCGACTACCTAATCAAATACAATTCATAACACAAAGTAAGTAAACATAAAAAAGTTGCTCATCCTACTCCCTCAGAATTTTTTAAAATTTTTCTCAGTAATGCCTACTTTCCTATGAGACTGCCCTCTTTATATGCCCTCTTTTGAAAATTAAGGGCAGCTGTCTGGTCTCCTCTTTAATTTCCAGGGAACACTTCTGGGTCCTTGCACCACCCCTCTCCATCATGAAGACATTATGTTGCTTCATTAGAGAAATTGGAATTTTGGGGACGGTGTCAAGTATCAGAGGGGTAGCCGTGTTAGTCTGAATCTGTAAAAAGCAACAGAGGGTCCTGTGGCACCTTTGAGACTAACAGAAGTACTGGGAGCATAAGCTTT